GCGTCCGGCGGCCAGTGTGTTCAGCAGGCCTTGGTAATAACACCCACTGATGATGTCACTGCAGGTGTTAACTGTCCTTTCTGAATTATTTCCGTTTTCGTTGTTATATTTTTTTATTACTACTATTATCAATATTATTATCAGAATGAGAGAGAGAGAGAGAGAGAGAGAGAGAGAGAGAGAGAGAGAGAGAGAGAGAGAGAGAGAGAGAGAGAGAGAGCGAGCGAGAGAGAGAGAGCGAGAGAGAGAGAGAGAGAGAGAGAGAGAGAGTGAGAGAGAGAATGGGAGAGAGAGAGAGAGAGAGAGAGAGAGAGAGAGAGAGAGAGAGAGAGAGAGAGAGAGAGAGAGAGAGAGAGAGAGAGAGAGAGAGAGAGAGAAACAGAATGAGAGAGAGAGAGAGAAAATGAGAGAAAGAGAAAATGAGAGAGAGAAAAAAAGCATGAAAGAAGAGAATGAGACAAACGAAACACACACAGAGAGAAAGAAAGCAAGAAAACGCAAGCGAGAAAGAAAGCATAAACACACAACGTGTATTGTCTGCTCGTTCCCTCCTGGGCGGCTCATGAATATGGACGGAGAGCAGCGCGAGCTCAGAGCAGAAAACCGTTTAATCCTCGGGGATTTCGCCTCGTCCGGTTCCTTCCCGCATTCCTATTCATCTCATCTATCCTATTCTCGGCCTATTTCCTCTCCTCTCTTTACATCCCTTCCCCCGTTTTTTTCTTTTTCTTTTTTTCTTAAGGATTTCATGACTAAAGTTCACTTCTTATGCATCTCGTTTTCTGTAACTTCTCCGTTTTCTTTGCACTTTCACCTCTCCCCTGCTTTCCTTTCCCGTTTTCTTTCCGCACTGATGTTCGCAATGGTCAAATTTAAGACAATTTCGAATGAAAGTAGTTCTAAGTGTTTAGGTAGAAAAGGGGTTAAACATACACACGCTCAGCTGAATCTCAACTTTCTGTAATTAGACTGATTTACCGACGCGACGAAACGCAAATAGCTATTTCATGGTTCCTGGCGAAGGTATATCAATACAGTTCTTGTCTTCGTTTCTCTGTTGTTTCTCTTATCTATTTTACTATCGTCTGTTCTTTCTATCTCTTTCATTTATTTATCTATTCATTTCTGTCTGTGTGTTTGTCGGCCTCCCTCTCTTCCTTTTCCGTATCTAGTTCTGTCTTTCTCAAGTAAAATATACACAGATGATTCGCACAACTTCATAAACATATTTACAAACCCACGTGCAGGCAAATATGACGAAATTGTAAGAAAATATCGAGAAAAACATGACAGAATTGGAAGTCAATGCCATCTAGCGGGAAAATCTATAAGCCGTTTTCTTTACCTCGGTTACTCGCCTGATGTTGCTGGAGGGCAAAGGTTATTAAGGAAATGTCGAATAGATTAAGATATGGAAATAGACGGGGAGAGTGAGACGGGGATGGAAAAGAAAGGTGGAGAGGGAGAAAGAGAGAGAAAGAGAAGAGAGTGGGAGAGAGAGAGGGAGTGAGAGAAGGAGATGGAACGGTAAAGGTAGACGTAGAGAGAAAGAGGGAGGGAGGGAGAGAGAGAGAGAGAGAGAGAGAGAGAGAGAGAGAGAGAGAGAGAGAGAGAGAGAGAGAGAGAGAGAGAGAGAGAGAGAGAGAGAGAGAAGAGAGAGAGAGAGAGAGAGAGAGAGAGAGAGAGAGAGAGAGAGAGAGAGAGAGAGAGAGAGATACGCATGAATAATACGTGACCACACATGCAGCAGCAACATTCCTCAAACTCTCAACATTAAAAACAAACCCACTGTTTATCTTTCAGTAACTACACAAGAAATACAAAATCACTAAACCTACAAAACCGACCTTAATTGCAATCGACTTTAATCCAAGACAAACAGTTTCAAATATCGAACTTCTCTTCACCGTATCACGTGACCTAACGGATTTAACGGCCTTCCAAAATATGTTAATATGACCCAAGGCAATATCTTTCCCCAGCAGGTTCAACACTACTTACAGCGCTTTGTAAGTTCAGTAAACATCATTAATGGAATCGGCAGGTGCCAATACCTGTTATGATGTTATGTAAAGGTCATTAGACATTAGTAATGGAATATGACCTTTTCTCGGTCAGCGCCCCTATCACCCCGAGGGAAGCAGGACAAATGCCGGTAACAAATTAATCTCTTTTGTTTTATATATAAAAATGTTTTGTAGTTATTTGGCTGAAAAATCCATATTATTTGTTTGGCGATATCTAAAGGATGTCAGATGTAAGAGTCATAAGAAAAGGAAAGGGAAAAAAGATGATGATGATAATGAAGAATATCATTATTATTATCATCATTATCATTATTATCATTAACGTTATCATGATCACCATCCCTATTTAATACGGTAAGAAGACGGAAATAGAAAAAAAGAGATAAAAAAAAATTAAACTGAAACAAAAGAAGCATTAAAAAATAAAGAAAAAAAATCCAGGAAAAAAAATACAATCATTATGAAAGAACGCTCTCTGCTATTGTAGATTAACCATGCACAGTCATGCGGATTCCTGAACGTATGCTTGTGCATGACATCTCTCCCCCCCCCCCCCACTTCCCCCTCCCCCGACATGACACTACTATGATATCATCTGTTAAATTAAATCGAGAAAAAAAAGAGTTCAAAGGATAGTTAAATAGGTAGTGTGGCATTTGAATGTTATGATGTTATTTTATGTGTGTCATTGGGAAGGGGGGGGGGGGTAGTGAAGTGTTCCTATGTATAATTCGAAAGTTTTATTACTATTATATATATTTTTTGCATTTATTTTATTTTTTGCATTTTTTTTCTTAGTTTCCAAATCGTCCTACATTTCATTTTTTTTGTGTTGTATTTCCGGTAACAGTTCTTGCCATAACGTTCTAACTTCTTTTGCTATTTATAATCATTACCAATCATGCTATTCGTCATTTTCTTTTCCTATGCATTATGTTTCCAATTGTATTTCATTTCCGTTATGCTTTTTCCTTCATTTTTTTTTGTTTCTATTTCTGTGTGTGACTGTAATGAGTATATATTTTTTTCTTTGACTATTTCTCTCTTTTGTTTCTGCTCGCTCTCTTTAATTATCCCTTTCTCTTTTCGTTTCTTTCCCTTTCTGGTTTGTTCCTTCATTCGTGATTCCCTTCTCTTCCGCCTTTCCTTTATTCTTGGCCAGTTTATTACCTCTACTAGTTCTAGAGGTTTTAACACACAGACACATACACACATGCGCACGCACGCACGCACACACACACACACGCGCACACACACACACACACACACACACACACACACACACACACACACACACACACACACACGCACACAGAATCGGCCTCTCTTCTATTTATAATACGCCATTATGCTCTTAATCTCTACCCTTTTCTTCCTCTTTCTCTCTCTCTCTCTCACTCCCAACGTCTCCCCGCTTTTACTCTCCTACCCTCTCTCTTTCTCTTAGCTCCCTCCTCCCTCTCCCTCTCTCTCTCACCTACTTTCTTCCCCTCCACGCCCCCACCCCCTTCTCTCTCTCCCTTCCACTTTCCCTCCCTACCTACCCCTCCTTCCATCCATCCTCCTCCCTCTCTCTCTTCCTCCCTTCCACTCAACGCCTCCCTCCCTCCCTCCCTCCCTCCCTCCCTTACGAAACCAGGGGGAGAGTCTAGCGTCATCACCGTTTGAGAAAGATGGCCAACACCGTACATAATCCATCCACTTATCTCCATCACTTCCCACTCGGCTGTTGATATCATATCACTCGACATCTTGCCTTTCCATCACGTACCGGTAACGTGTGTATGTATATATTTCCTTTTTTCTTTATTTACCGGTAACCTGCTTCTACATTTTACAAGAAAGTTATATGTTGAGACGTACGCGGTGTCTGGGAATGATAAATTTCGATCGGAAAAAGGAAAATGTCATTCATTATATCTTTTATCTCCGAGTGTGTGTATCTCTATCAGCCTAAGGAGGTGATTATATATAGTTTATGGAACTAGTAAGTAACGATAAAAAATAAAAAAAAGTCTCAGCTTATGATTATATTTTACACAGCCGTCTTCTGCTTATGTTCTAAACAACTCCGAAAGTAACAAATAAGAACAAGAGATCAAACGAACACTCAAATGAAACTCGTACCATAAGAAAGAAAAAAGGAAAGAAAAAGAACAGAAAAAATAAAAAACACAAGAGAAAAGAAAGAAATACGGAGAAAAAACAAACAAAAGAAAAGAAAAGAAAAGAAAAACAAAACAAAGAAAAAACGAAAACGAAAAGAGAAAATGAAAACGAAAAGAAAAAAACAAAAACAAAAGAGAGAAAAGTGAGAAATATACAAAAACAACCCCCCAAAAACACACACACACACACACACACACAAAATCCCACAATTTCCCTATCGCCCTGTTTCCTAATCGACGAGTGTATCTTGGCAAACCTCCTGAGATCGATCGGAAACTGTGTGATCTTTGCGTCTGATCTCAAGCTCCTCTCCTCTTCTTTCTTTTTCCTTTTAAGCTTTGTATCTACTTACTCTTTGTTTATTATCTATCTTGTCTTTATTCATTTATTTTAGTTTTTTTTTCGTTTGTCTTCCTTTCTACTTTCTTTTCTAGATTTTAATTAGATTTTTAACTATTCCCTTATTTACTCCTACTTCTAAAACTTTTAAAATTTTGCCTTTCGTTTGAACCTTTGTCTTACATGTTAGTGTTATATATTCCTTTTTCGACAAATGAATAGTTCTTTGACAAGCATTTGTTCAGTTGGGTTTATGTTTTTCGAAGGTAAAAATTGCTTGTTGATTTGTCTTCTCTCAGTATTCTATTCTTTGTCCAATTCCGTCTTTCTATCTGTCTGTCTGTCTATCTTTGTCTATCTATCTCCCCCTTTCATTCCTTTTTCTCTTCCTATCTCCTCCTTCCTATCTCTCTATCTCCTCCTTCTCTTACCTCCTGCCCACCTTCTTACCCTCCTCCCCACCTACCCACCTACCCCTTCCGCGCCTACCCGACACCCACGCGACCCCACCTGCCCCGAGCGCCCCCTGTCGACGCTTGGCAACACCGCTCTGTCGGGCATACCTGCGCACCCGCTGACCGCTCCCCTGTCCCTCCCCCCCCCTCTTCCCCTCTCCCCTATCTCCCTCCTCCTACTCGAAACACCCTCTTCCCCTCTCTCTTACCTCCCTCCTCCTTCTCCTCCCCCTCACACCTTCTTTCTCTCCTCCTCCTTCTATCCTTACTTTCCCCCCCTCCCCTGCTCCTTCTTCTCCTCCCCCTCTCTCCTAGCTCCCTCGTCCTACCCAAAACACCTTCTTCCACTTTTCCCCTAATACTTCTTCTCCTTCTCCTCCCCTTCACTCATTTTTCCTCCTCTCTCCTTCTCCCCCTTTCTTTTATACATCCTTCCCCCGCCTCTCTTACTGTTCTTCTACCTTTCTCTTCTTCTCTTCGTGTCCTTTCACCTTTCTTTCCCTCCTCTTCCATTTTCCTCCATTCCCTCCTCCTCTTTTCTCCTCTTCCTCTTTGCTAATTAAAATGATAAAAAATAATAACAATAATGATAATGATAATTATAATAATAATCATAACAATAATAACGATAATGGTGATAGAAATGATAACGTTAATGATAGTGATGATAAAAATAAATGAATTAATATTATAAAAACAGAAATAAAAATCTAGATTTTGATTTTGATTTCGGTATATGCCATTTCTCCCTCTCTCCCTGTCTCGCATTTCTTGATAATCAGGTTTCCATTTCTCTCTCTCATTCATCGGAGAGGAGAGGAAGAGAGAAAGAGAGAGAGAGAGAGAGAGAGAGAGAGAGAGAGAGAGAGAGAGAGAGAGAGAGAGAGAGAGAGAGAGAGAGAGAGAGAGAGAGAGAGAGAGAGAGAGAGAGATAAAAACAGGATAACCTGTCTTCCGCGAAAATGCGAAGCCTCAGTCACCGCTAAACTAGTCTTCGTTGCGAAAGCATTGCGATAGATTGTGGCGAGAACATCCCCTTCTTCTGCTGTTCTCCCTCGTACTCCTCCCTTCTCGACTCCTCCTATCTATCGCCATCTCCCTATTCTTCCCTTGCTCTTCTTCTTCTTCCTCTTCCTCCTCCCCTTCTCCTCTTCTTCTCCATCTCTCTATCCCTCCATCCCTCTCTCTCTCATCTCATGCCTTTTATAACCTCAAAAGGATAAGCGCAATTCCGACAAAGTAAAAAACAGCAATTGTGAAGAAGCAAGACTTCAGGCGCTTACTTAATCACAATCTTCCCGCTGATGAGTAAGATAACCTCGTGATAACAGCTAATCGCCATGCCTTTAGTGTTAACGAGCAGCTGATAGCGCATGTCGACTTGAGAGAACCCGGGTGTCATGTGTGTGTTATTCTACACATTTTGGGGCGGGGAGATTTTTGCCTCTCCCCTCCCCCTGCCCCGAATTCTTCGTACTTCTCAGTAGAGATAACTGGCTTCTTTTAATACTGAGGGATGTGGTTGTTTGCGTAACTGATACGGAGTTGAGGGGTTTTATTCCTTCCTATCTGTGCATGAAGAGGCGAGGTTTTTATTGTACATCTTAATTTTATAATCATTTTGTGTTGGAAATCGGGGGTTGCGCGCGGGTGGGGGAAAAGGGAAACGCTGGGCAGTTGAGACAACCATGCCAAAAGAGATCAAACACGTTATGATAATCATATATATGATAGACACTGCTACGACGCCCTTCATCGCTGGCCAATGGGCGAGCGGAGGCGCGGGCGCGTGTCCTCACCTTTGAGGCTGGAGATGTGCTGCTGGTACTGCTTGGACCTCTGCCGGAAGACCCCCTTGTCTCCTTCCGGAGCGTCTTCGTCGGCGGGCTGCGGGGTGACCCTGGCCACCCAGGCGGGGGCGCCCTCCCACCGCGGCGACTCCTCGCTGCTGCTGGCGGTGGAGAAGAGCGAGTCGCGGGAGGCGGTGCGGGAGGTCATCACGTACTTGGTGTAGCTCGGGTCGCGGTCGCGGATCAGGACCCGGGTGCTGTAGCGGCGGACCTCGTTCCGGGTGCCACCCTCCTCCCACTGCACGGTGCTTACCGCCTCCATCGTCAGGCGCTCGTCGGGGCTCGGCCTCTCCTTCCCGGGGCTCGCCGCGTCCTGGCCACTCGTGCTGGAGGGCTGCTCGCCGGGAACCTTTTCGGTAAATTGATCTGGGGACACGCTGCTCTTGCTGGCGGCGCTGGCGGCGCGTTGTTCTTCGGGGGCATCTAGGATTCGCGGGTCGGTCGAGGAGGAGAGAGACACTGCGGGGGAGTCCTCCGCCTCCTCCACCTCCAGAATGCGCTCGACGGAGGGCGTGCGGGATCGGAGTCTGGATCGCGGTCCCGATTTGGTTCTGCTGCGAGTCTTGTGAGCGTGCTGGGGCGTCGCGCCAGCCTCGCCGGGGGGCGGGGAGGGGCTGAGGAGCCGCGGGGACACGGCGCCCTCCTGCTCCATCGGCTCCGGCGACGTGCTGACGGTGCGCTCGACGGTACGACGCACCACAACGCGGTGGTACCTGACGCGGTCCCCATGCTCCACGCTCTCCCGCTCCTCCTCCTCGACGCGCTGGAAGCCCTCCTGGCCAGCGCTGTCGGGGTCGTCCTCCTCCAGGCGGTCACTGGAGGAGTGCGTCTCCGTGTGCGGCTTGGCGTCTCCGGGGGCGCCCCAAACCGTCGTCGTGTGCGTTGTCGAGGTGACGGCCGTGGCCACGCCGCCGCGGCGCTCGGCCTTCGCCACAACCTCGCGGCTCATCAACTGCCGCGCCGGGCTCCTCCTTGACTCGACCTCCGGCGCTTCCTCACGCTCGGGCGTGGCGCCACGGCTTGACCTCGGCTCGGGCGTGGCGCCACGGCTTGTCCTCGGCTCGGGCGTAGTGCCGCGGCTTGATCTCGGCCCGGGCGACTGCCGCAGCTGCGGCCACTCCTTCACGGGTGACGACAGCCGCTGTCGCACCTCCTGGCGGTGCGCCTCGAGGCGCCGCTCGATCTCCTCGGCCATGGACGAGCCCCTGGCGGAGTAGGTGGACTCCCACGGCTCGGGCGTGGGCTCGCGGCGCTCGGGGCCCTTCGCTTCGTCGCCGCCCCGCCGCAACTGCACCCACTCCCTCGTGGGAGAGATGCTGCTTGAGCGCATCCTCCGCCGCTCCTCCAGGCGCCGCTCGATATCCTCGGCGAGCGTGGAGGAGCTGCTCTCGTCCTCCACCCACTCCCACTCCTCCTCGGACGACCGCCGGTGCTGGTCGTGGCGCTCGGGGCTTACGCTCGTCCTCCGGGGCCGCTTCTCCTGGCCGGGGCCGTCGTCGGCCACGTCCTCCACCACCACCTCCGTCCCGACCTCCACGTCGGGAGAGATGCCGCCCTCTCTGCGGCCGGCGCCCGCCCTCTCGATCGAGGGCGACCTGGCCCGACCCCACCACACCTGCTCGAAGAACGACACCTTGTTGAGCAGAGACCGCGGCCGCTTTTCAGTTCTGCCGCGGTCGTCGTCGCCGCCCCCACCCGAGGGCGTGGGCGACTTCCCTGGACTCTTGTCAGCCATGTTTGCGTGTGACGGCGGCACTCATGGACCGGCGTTGCGGCCGCGTGTTCGTTGTCGCGGACCGTCGGCGTGCACGCGTGATCACTGACGGGGTCGCACTGTGCCTGCCTGGCGCTCCGACGTCCGCGCTCACCCAACACCCGCCCAACCAGCGTTTACCTCGTCGGCCCACACACCCACCACCCTTCCTGCCCGGCCACCTCGCCCACGGACCGGCCTCGAGCTCCTGTCCTTCCTTCTCTCTTCAGGTACTCTGACCTCCTCTTCTTGTCCTTTTCTATCTCTCCCTTTCGTCGGAGTTAATAAGTCTTCCATTCACCTCTCGAGGGGCCATTTAATATCATGTCCCAGGTCCCCCCCCCCTCGTCCAGCAGCTTCCAAGTGTCACGAATTGGGTGGTATGGCGCCGCACACGCTGCCAGACGCACGATCGCCAACAACACAACCCGACAACAGATGAATGTCATCTCTTAATTTCTCTTCCACCAAACCGCCATTACTTTGGGCGTAACGGCAGCAGTGGGTTTTCCTGCGAAACATTCTTTTTTAATTCGTTAAAATCGAAATAAGACACAGAGTTACCTCGGCAACGTTAGACCTTGAGGGAGCCGGCCTCTTGCGCGACCCCGCTATAGGGAATTCGACTCCCTTCGCCCGTCTTCTCCCTCCTTCGACTCTCTCTTTCTCGATCCTATTTTGTCTCGCAACATGAGAGAACGGTGTATGCCGATTCGATCCAGTTATCAGCGAAGGAAAATATGCTTCGCACAATAACGTCACTCGACCGCACACTAAAGACTCCATTCCCTGCCACAGAATCCAGCCACAAGAAAAAAAGAAGAAAAAAAAGTAAACATTTCACAAGAAATGAAGTCATCGTAGACTACACGGAAACAAAATACAAAATACAAAAAAAAAAAAAAAAATAAATAAACACCTTCGCCACAACTAGAAAAAAAACAGTATCGTACACCACCTCTTTCCCAAAATAATGATAATCACACCAGAGAAACAGACATTCAGAGTTTAAAAAGAAAGACAAAGACAAAAAAGAAACGAAACGAAAAAAAAAGAGAACTAAAAGACGTTCACATATCGCTTTCCTGCTTGCACGCTAACCCTTTGACTGATGAGCTGCTGCATGTACGCCCGTGTTTCGGCTGAAGGTGATTTCAATGGCGCTCGTTACGTGATCTGACGAAGGGTGCGGGGGGGGCGGGAGAGTACGGGGGGAGGAGGCGTTTTTCTTTTTTTTTTTGGGGGGGGGGAGGGGGGCGTTACAAGGGGTTGAATGAGGAAGGTGTTTATAGGGGGAGGGGGTTGTGTGAGGAAAAGGGGGGGGAGGGGCGTTACAAGGGATTGAATGAGGAAGACGTTTATAGGAGGGGGGGGGTTGTGTGAGGAAAAGGGGAGGGGGGGCGTTAC